AGGATAAATGCTCCATTCTTGTCGGAGGACGCATATTTTCTATGAAAATTTCTCAGACATTCAGACGGGTAAATGTTTTTAATACTGTTTATTATAAACAGAGCATTTACTTAAATATTTGTATCTATAAAATGAACGTATAAACATAAAAATGTCTTATATATATATATATATATATATATATATATATATATATATATATATATATAAAATTAAAACGAAGAAATATCCATGTGTGTTTCTTATACTATGTAAGAAATATCATTAATCTTTAATACTTGAAGGTTTAAACCAAATGCACTCCCCTTTTTTAATTATTTCACCCCAATCAAGGCGGTAAAGCCACTAGTACGCAGGGTTAGGGTTACAGAAAGTGAAAGAAAAGACTGAGATTAGGGAGGGTTCAGGAAGGGACAAAAGATGAAGGAGATTCAAGAAGACAGAAGATAGCGAACTATGTTCCATTTATATTTTTGAAGATTTTAGTTATCAGGGGAGCAAGTAAATAGAAAAGAGTTCCACAGGCTGAATGTGTGAGAAAAGAAACTGCTGGAAGTGGCGGATGCATTTAGCTATTTTAACAGGAAACGGATGGAACTTAGATTCCAATCTAGTAACACAATTAAATTCATGCAGTCGGTGCACCAGGGAAAAAAAAGATTGTCAGCGCAGTTAATATCTGCGGTATTTTGAAATATTTGCATGCTGAATTCATAAATTACTTATATTTGCAGTCTAAAGTAAAACTCTATGTAATTTTCTAGAATAAAAATAATATGAACAGACTGAAGACACAAAGCTGTTCGGAAAATAATGTCGAATTTTCGAACAATCTCTTTCGGAATTTAATTTATTTGGTTGTTCGGAAAACAATGTCCAATTTAAAAATAAACATTTTAATTATGTTCTAATGTATTACAATAAGTGCACAAAAATATATAACTCATACCTAACGATTAAAATGCCGTCTTTGTTAATTTTATATCAATCACTTTCGGAATTTAACTCAACGTTGTTCGGAAAATAATGTCAGATTTTAGAATAAACCTTTTAATTGTGCTCTAACATATTATAATAGTTGAACAAAAATATATTACTCATTCCTAATGATTAGAAGTGTCCTCTTTGCTAATTTTATATCAATGTGTTTCAGAATGTATAAATCGACACCAAAAGAAACGCCTATGACATGTCATTTTATGTTAACAATTAAAATCGGGCACGGACTTTTGCAATAGTCTGATATTTTCTTTCACTTTATGCATATAAAAGGTGTTCCAATATCTTTGACAGATTTTAAATGTGAATTAAGTTTAAGCGTCTAATGATTTTTTCTTTTTCTTTCAGATTTAACAACTTAAGTCTTTGGTAATTTCAACCATGGAAAGATTAACAATCAAACCACGTGTTAAAGTTATTGTAGTCTATTACGAAAGTGGACGTTCAAAGAGAAATGCATTTCGCGCACTTTTTGGGGGGCAACATAATCGACCAAATGATCATGGCTCTCCACAAATTTCTGTCTTTCTTTTTTTTTTTTTGCTGTATGTAATTCTTATTTCTTTACAATTCCTCTTAATGTGTTTGGCCTTTTTTTTTTTTGCTACCTATTCAATCAAACTCGTCAGGGACATTATTCAATGTTTCCCGCTGTTTCTCTTGCATTTAGTATGCCCTATGAACAGTGCCGGATTTACATACGGGAAAGTATTGGCTGTAGATCAGGGGACTGAAGGGTGCACTAGTCTTGGGTATCTGATGCAACTGAAAAAATATAAAAAAAAAAAAACAGAGGAAGTTTGTTTATTTTCACAATTAATGGGACTCCTTTGAACTAATTTGAAACAATTTAAAGTATTTTGTTCCCTAATTGGAGTGGGTCTTTTAAATTCCATGGGTCATCATAATCGGCCAACCCAGAATGCAATTTGAAAAGACAATTCTGCTGTTACACCAGATATATTTAACCTTTAAGTTAATGAAATCAGGCTTTTGGAATAGTGTTCTCATTGCTATAAATATATGAAAATATACAGCAAAATCTCGTCACTTTTGAATCTTTTCATTTGTACTCTTTTTTTATGCGTCCCTCAGGACGTAGGGGATCATGGCTCACCACAAGTTCCTGTCCTTTGTTTTTTCTTCTCTTAAAACCGTGAATTAAAAACCTGATTGGTCATCTATTTACTGAAGCTCGGTAGATAGGTTATATATTTTTTTTCTCTATCTCCCTTGCATTCGTTCTGTCCTGTGAGTATCAAATTTTCCAAGCATTCTTTCCTCATTATGTGCCCTAGAAATTGCAACTGTCTCTCCCTGATGTGAAGTATAAGTTTCTTTCGTTTTGTTTTTCCTCTAAAACATCGTCGTTGCTCACGTATTCGGTTCAAGTTATTCTCAGCATACATTTTTAGAACAAGATTTCTGCTGCTTCAAGTTTATTCTTCATTTTTGAAGAGATTATCCAGCATTAACTGCCGTAAAGGAGGACCGATATCATATAAAGAGATCAGTCCTCTTTTATTTGTTTCTAATGTTCTTTTCCGTTCCTTAATATTCTGCTTAGTTTTAGGAATGCATCTTTGGATATCCCAATACGCCTCTTTAAAAAATAAACAGCGTTCACAATTATGTTTATTATTGTAATATTTTCTAACATATTTTAAGCAGAAATATTTAACGATGATGTTCCGGATTTTCCACGACTATTTTATTTTTGCTGAAAACAAAAGCAACTTATTCAATCATTAAAATAAAGAGTTTTTGACCCATGAGACAATCACATAACGTACATGGAAATTAGAGACATGTCGCGTAAAATTTTAGTATATTTAAAACTAACTACTCTAAAGTTCAAGGCTTTTGAACATTTCGCAAAAAATTACTATATTTAAAATGTACTACCGTAACTTTTCAGAGGATTGAACAGTTCTTGAAAAATGACTGTTAATATATTTAAATCTTACCACACTAACGTTCAAGGCTTTTGAACATTTGCGAAAAATGACTGTATTTAAAATGTACTACCCTAACTTTTCAGAGGATTGAACAGTTCTTGAAAAGTGACTGTTAATATATTTAAATCTTACTACCCTAACGGTCAAGGGTTTTGAACATTTCTTGAAAAAATGACTGTATTTAAAATGTACTACCCTAACTTTTCAGAGGATTGAACAGTTCTTGAAAAATGACTGTTAATATATTTAAATCTTACCACACTAACGTTCAAGGCTTTTGAACATTTCGCAAATAATGACTGTATTTAAAATGTACTACCCTAACTTTTCAGAGGATTGAACAGTTCTTGAAAAATGACTGTTAATATATTTAAAACTTACAACCATAACGTTTAAGGGTTTTAAACAGTTCTTGAAAAATGACTGTATATTTAAAATTTAGTAGCTTAACTTTCAAAGATTTTTAACAGTTATTGAAAAATGACTGCTCGTATATTTAAAACTTACTACCCTAGCATTCAAGGATGTTGGACAGTTCTTGAAAAATGACATTTGCGAACATGCGACCGATATTTTCGCTACTCCACCCACCTACAGTTGATTTTTTACGGCTTATCAGCCTTTTGTAGACTATTTAAAGCCGTAATATATTTTCGATTGTAATTATAATTATTTTCTTTTTGCCAATAATATCTGAACAATTTTTAAGGAGATAACAAAGATTTTTCCAGATAAACCACCTACAATTTAATCCATAGCAAGGGTGAGATATGGGTTCATGCCTTTCCCAATGGTATTTACGCGTAGGTGAATATAACGAACTCGACTGGAATTCGAACTTGGTTCGCTGAATTCTCATCGTGAGTCGTTACACCATCCGCACATCCTCACCCCTACACATCTGAGATTGTGGGTTACAGTTGTCTGCCGATCTGGTCTATTTTCGTTAGCACCCATAAATCAAAAATCGCTGTTGAGTAGGTTCATTCTTAAATTAAGAGATGGACAATATCCTTATCTTTAGAAAGACCTGACTAGGCGATTCCAACCCATTTTCTATAGGATATGTTGAAGAATTCCCCTTTCGTGATTTCTTGGAGCAGTTGGAATTTAATGGTGGTGGTGATATACATAAGAGGGGCATTGTTTTAGATGAAGAACAACAAGAAGTGGATGGGTTAACGAATTTCTCGTTGGCTGGGTCTCCATCTTTTAATGTGTCCTGGAGAGTCTTTGATAACTTTAATGACACGTTTTTATCTTCGTCCCGATTCAGCCTCTCAATCACTAACCCCGACAGAACCCCGTCTGCGAGTAAAGTGCTCAGGGTTTCTTTTCTATTATTTTCGAAGTTACCCTTTACCGTTTGCGGCTATCTTTCATTACCCCCCGTTGTATACCTCCTAATGAAATTCCTCTTTGCATATCGGATAACGCGCAATGTAATTACATGGCTACAATTTAAAATGATGGTTAGCGTGTGACAGTTGTTTTGGTATTCGTCGGATGGTCTTTAGTATCGAGATAAAGGTGAAGCGGATCTGGGGGGTGGTGGACTGGGTACAAGTTACAGACGGAGACCGGTCACCTGGGCTCGTTGCAATTGATGGCAAATGTGATGGCGGGAGACGGTCGTAAAGGGCAGGAAATGAACGATGTGACCAAAGAATTTAACTGCAGAAGTGAGGGTCGGAGAGTTTGAGCGGAAGCGATGAAACAAGAGGGTCTGGACGCTTATTGACATTGGAATTCAAGGCGAGATGATGCAGACACGGAGAGTGAAGAGAAGGGAAACGCGGCGGAGGCTATAGATCACGTGACTAGTTCCTGACCGGAAGGTGTTACATTTCGTGTCATTATGGCGTCCCAGTGTCACGTAGCGCCGTCTTGAAGAAATACAAACAGGCAGGTGAGCCATCGCGTGTGGCTGTCGGCTTTTATAAAAGCAATTGTATTATGTACATGAGGAGGTGCTGAAAAGAGTCTCTTTACAAAATCAAACATTAAAATTTTGGTGGGAGGGATTCATGGGATAGTCTAGAAATGTCTAATATACCTGTTCTATCTATCTATCTATCTATATCAGTCTGTTATTATCTAATCTGTTATCTATCTATCTATCTCATTCTGTTATTATCTAATATGTTATCTATCTATCTATCTATCTATCTATCTATCTATCTATCTATCTATCTATCTCAGTCTGTTATTATCTATCTATCTATATATCTAACTATCTATCTCTGTCTGTTATTATCTAATCTGCTATCATCTCATCTATCTATCTATCTATCTATCTATCTATCTATATATATATATATATATATATATCAGTCTGTTATTATCTAATCTGCTATCTATCTATCTATCTATCTATCTATCTATCTATATATATATATATATATATATATATATATATATATATATATCAGTCTGTTATTATCTAATCTGCTATCTATCTATCTATCTATCTATCAATCTATCTCTGTCTGTTATTATCTAATCTATCTATCTATCTATCTATCTATCTATCTATCTATATATATATATATCAGTCTGTTATTATCTAATCTGTTATCTATCTATCTATCTATCTATCTATCTATCTCAGTCTGTTATTATCTATCTATCTATCTATCTATCTATATATCTAACTATCTATCTATCTCTGTCTGTTATTATCTAATCTGCTATCTATCTATCTATCTATCTCTGTCTGTTATTATCTAATCTGTTATCTATCTATCTATCTATCTATCTATATATATATATATATATATATATATATATATATATATATCAGTCTGTTATTATTCATCTATCTATCTATCTATCTATCTATCTATCTCAGTCTGTTATTATCTAATCCGTTATCTATCTATCTATCTATCTATCTATCTATCTATGTCTGTTATTATCTAATCTGTTATCTATCTATCTATCTATCTATCTATCTATCTATCTATCTATCTAACATAATAATTATAAAATAATAGCAATGAAAGTTCTTATATGTAAAATTATGTAATTCTCCGTATGTTAAAGTGAACAGAATTTCTGGCAATAAAGTGCTCAATATCTATTTAGAACAATAATTATTCTATGAAAAATAATAAGTGTTCTCGACGCTAATCGAAGGTCGACTCAGATTTAGATTCACAATTCTTCGATCCCCAGCACCCATAAAAGAGTAGAATTGTAGGGACGGTGGATAGTGGCTTGGATTAAGGAATCGGTGAGCCGAGTTCGAATCCCGATCGAATCCATTACATTCACTTACGTGCTAATACCCTTGGGAAAAGGTATTAATCCTTTTCTTCTCCCTCCAGCTATGAGTAAATAGCAGGACAGACTGGGTTCTATAGCCTTGGATGGCAACTGGTCTGCGGAGGTCGTTTGGGGATCTTGTGGCATGTTGTGCACTAGGTTTCTGTATTCGGCCCTTCAAAAAGTGTGGTGGGTTCTGCAAAAAGCCTTCAGCACTATAATCAAATCCCATGTGCTGGTGTCGAACTATCGGTTTGTAGGAACTGATCTGTTTCACCCTCCTACGTCGAATTCGACGTGAGAGTCGATATATATATATATATATATATATATATATATATATATATATATATTATGAAATAGATTCAGTACAATTATTTATTATATTTTCTGTTTATACGTTATTTTAATAGATACCATTTATTTAGGTAAATGCCCTGTTTTTAAATTCAATATATAAATAGAATAATAATTTACAGTTATTATATATAATTTAATATATAATAAAAAACAGAGCATTTACTTAAATAAATTATATCTATTAAAATAACGGATAAACAAAAATATATTTTAAGACATTTTTTTATGTTTATACGTTCTTTTTATAGATACAAATATTTCAGTAATTGTGCTGTTTATAATAAACGGTATTAACAACATTTACCGGCCTGAATGTCCGAAAAACTTTCATAGAAAATATGCGTCCTCCGACAGGAATCGAACCTGTATCCTATACGGAACCGTCATATAGCCTGACGTGTTTTACCGATTTAGACACAGAGGTGTGTTTCAGTTAACGTGGTCAATTTTACTGTTTTTAAACTACAATTCTCCATGATTTTCTCTCATACATTCATATCTGCCCGATGCGTATACAAATGTAAACAAATGACAGATATTATGAAATGGACAAAGTCCGACAAATATTTTAAGACATGTCTTAAAATAATTGTCGAACTTTGTCCATTTCATAATGTGTAACACACACACACACACACACACACACACACACACACACACACACATATATATATATATATATATATATATATATATATAAAAACAGACCACTTTAAGGTTCCATGTAATAAATTATTTCACCTCAGCCCTTTTAAAAGGACTGCGGATCATCAGACTTTACTTCCAAACAAAAAATGAGAAGAAAATTTACACATGTGTAAATTTTCATTTCGTCTGATGATCCGCAGTCCTTTTAAAAGGGCTGAGGTGAAATAATTTATTACATGGAACCTTAAAGTGGTCTGTTTTTATTTAAATTATTTGCTCTGGATTTACATTGAGCTCTCTGGATTTTATTCTCCTTAGGTTTACCCATACAGATTACCTAGTTTTTCATAAACTAAAAAAAATATATATATATATATATTTGTCAAAAACATACACACGAACCGAAATCCTTGAAAACCAATGTTGCAACATTCGAAAGTACTCAGGAAGAAAACAAACAAATAGAAATGAACATTGATAAATGTATCTCTTACATGAAACAAGTAATTCGTAAATTTGCAAATCTTATTAAAAATGGAAAGATACAACTGATCGATATTATCAGCTAAAATGTTCGAAAGAAATTTTCATGTTACTGTATGGGATAGACTCCCCAGAGGATACTTCCCTGATAGCTACTCTTCATTTTTCCAATCTATCCTCAAAACATTCACCTTACAACAACCTCATTCACCAATGATTTACCTTGAGTAGCTCATAGACCTTATATTCTGCGAGCAATACCATTAAACAAAAATGTAGGTTTGTCCACACACTGTTGTACAATTAAACACGGTGCTGATTTAAATATTCAACTAGGCACAGAAATAGATGACCCATGATTCGGCATCATAAAGCAAACCAGAAAACCTTCGTATTTCTTCGCCAATTTTTTGTCTATCGCTCAATTCCTCTGACAAAAACTATAACACATAGAAGGTAGGTAAATTTCTGTATTGTTTTATTTCTGGCTGATGGAAATGAAAGGTGACTGATGCTCTTGCAAGTGTGTAAGCTAAGGGAGTATTATTGGATCCATCATATAAAAATATTGTTATAGGCAACTTCACTTTTACGAAATACCTAGATCAATCGAAATATCTAACGATATAATATAATCTATATAATAAATGCCAACATCAGTGTGTCACAATTTTTCAAATAAAGGAACACGACTCTCAATAGCTCATCTTCTTCTATATAATAAATGCCAATGTCAGTGTGTCACACTTTTTCAAATAAATTGACATGACTCTCAATAGCTCATCTTCTCCTTCTCTATAATAAATGCCAAGGTCAGTATGTCACACTTTTTCAGTTAAAGGGACACAACTCTCAATAGCTCATATTTCTCTCTATAATAAATGACAAATCAGTGTGTCATACTTTTCAATTAAAGGGACACAACTCTCAATAGCTCATCTCCTTCCATGAACTTTTAAAAGGTAAGCTTAAATATTAATGAAATACTTAAATGTAGCGATCAATTTTGTAGTTTCTTGTTGCCTGTCGCATCTAATCCTACCTACTTATTGTGGTACAGGCACAATCAACAGCCCTCCTCAGTAGTTAGCATAATTTTATATATACTAATTTTAACTTGTGAAAAATTTATGATTTCCCCATTTGAAATTTCTGATAAATCTTAGTTTTTTAATTAATGGTTGGATTGAATAAGCTCATGTCATTTTATATGACAATAAAGTATTCATAGAAATTCCCCTATCGCATCGTAAAATATTTGAGCTTAAACACTCTAACAAACATTGCACTAACAATCATAATTACAAATGCTGGCCGTTATTTTAAGATGTAAGGGGGTATAAATGTAAACATTTGAAATTGGCAACTTTTTCCATTTCACTGAAACAGAAGTTATATCCTTCAGTCTTCTTTCTATCTGAAACCACGTAGTCTGTTTGAGGTCATTTGTCTTTAAACACTTCTTTCTTTCATTTACTGAAACCATGTAGCCGTTATTTATGAGGGCGTAATGGTCGTGCGAACAAAGGAACTAACGAAAGGAGGTACAAGCACAATTATTATATGAAGTTTCAGTGTAAGGCGAAAAATTAAGTAGAGTTAACTTATGGGCAGTAATATTTGAGAATTCCCAGGTTAGAAAAATGGCCGCAAAGGTCGAAGTTCATCGTCTGCTGTGGGTGATGTGTAAAGATTTGAAATACTACAATTAGGCAGGTTTACTTTATACGTTTACATTCGTGGAGTTCTTTGCGGATACACAAAAAATTTAACAAAGATGCTTTTAAAAGATTAAAGGCATAAGTTTCAACGGTGGAAATCTTAGCGAAAATGTGATCGTTAATTTTTAAGATTCAGCAATCTCTCAAAATACTTTCCCCTATAAATGAATGCTGTAGAGATGTAAAATACGATTGTCTACCTTCGATGGAGATTAAGTCATATGACAGCTGCTTCGTGAGGCCGCTGAATAGTGACGAAAGTGGCAGTCCTTTAGTTATCTTCAAGGAGTCAAACAGGTTTACTTAGATCGGGCTTCTTGGCCTGGGCTGAAGCTAAATCAACCTCAGCCACGTGGAGCTGCTTACATGTCTATGACGCCTATGAAAATGAACATTCATCAGATATATAAAATACCTCCAGTTCGCATTCATCATATTAGAAAAAAAAAAGCAAAAAAAATAGCTGTTTTCCTTTTGTTGAATATGTCCTCGTTAGCGACATAACAGATGCACCCGTTCGGTTGAATCTGGAATCCAAAATATAGTTTCTCCAAAAGAATCCCCATATTATGTATAAGACCATATCTTTCTGCTCTCTTTTCACTCTGCTTGCGGCGTAGATATGTGCTATATTTTCTCTACGTGGGACACGTATATATATATATATATATATATATATATATATATATATATGTACTCGACTCTCCCGTTAGGGTCAAGTAGATCAGTTCCTAGGAAACCGACAAAGCGACACCATCATATAAGATTATAGTGGTGAAGGTTTTGTGCAGAACCATCCACACTCTTTGAAGGGCCGAATACAGAGACCTGGTGAACTACAAGCTACAAGGTTCCCAAACGTCCCTCCGCAGTTTTTCTTTATTTTTTTTATTAAGAGTTGTCATTCTCCTAGACCAATTGCTATCCAAGGCTATAGAACCTGGTCGGTCCTGCTATTTACTCATAGCTGGAGGGAGAAGAATAGGATTCATACGTTTCCCAAGGCTGTTGTTAGCACGTAAATGAATGTAATGGATTCGACTAGAATTCGAACTCGGCTCTCCTCAATCCAAGCCGTTATCCATTCCATTAACCATATATATATATATATATATATATATATATATATATATATATATATATATATATATATATATATATATATATATATATATATATATATATATATATATATATATATATATATATATATATACCTAGTGAGCCAGACAAACCTTCCTAGGTTTCACCTAAACGGATCGTTAGGGAAAGTTTGGCTTGGTTTTTTCTTTGGGCTTCAGACCTGCATCTGTGCGATTTTTTGTCGGCAGAAGTTCATGTTTGTAGCTCTTTTTTTTTTAAAACCTTTTTTCCCTCGAGATTGATTTGATTAGCAAATCAAAAATTCGAGGGTTTTTCGAAACGAGTCTAGTTACCTATATATATATATATATATATATATATATATTGATTCTAGTCACAGTTACTAAACTGATCCAGTGCAAAGGACAAGGAAGATACTTCAATCCGAGGCAGAATACACACATCTTGTGGCACTTATTCAGCCCTTCAAAAAGTGTGGATAGTTCTGCACAAACCCTTCACCACTATAATCTTAAATGATGGTGTCGCTTTGTCGGTTTCCTAGGAACTGATCTGCTTGACCATAACAAGTCGAATTCGACGGGAGAGTCGAGTATGTATATATATATATATATATATTGATCAGTGACAGAGAGGTAAAGATCGATGAGCTTTTCCTAGACAGAGCAAGTAGATACTACATTTAATCTAGGCAGGTGCCTCGGGAGAGACGATTTGGACCTAGACACACAATACTACACTGATTTTAAGAAGGTGCATCTGGAGACACATAGTAAACAGGTCTCGCGAGCGACATTTCAATCCTAGGCGAAATTACACCTATCCTATGCAGAAAACTCCGGTTCGATTGCTTTATCGAAGGAACATTACCCAACTATTAAACTGATCATAGGCAAAAATCACGGGAGTGATATTGTAATCCCAGCAAGCTAAACCTTAAGTTAGGCAAAACACATAGATACTACCCTGATCTTAGAGAGTGGGATCCTGGAATGACACTTTGAAGGAAGACTGACCACAAATATTATTGATCCTAAGCTGAGACACCGAGATACTACGATCATTGATCCTAGAAAGAGGTTCCGGGAGATAAACTGTAAGTTAGGAATAGCACACGTATACTGCACTGGTCTTATGCAAAGGGTACTGGAGCGATATTTTGGTTCTAAGCAGAGCATATAGACACGATAATGGTCGTACGTGCGCGAACAGATACTTAAACTTAAGCAGAAGTGTAGATCCATGCTTAAATAATCCAATCATTTTTGGCAGGTACTATACTTATATAAGAATAAATAGATATAAGGTAATGAATTTTAAAAAAAATGGTAACGGTATTAATTTGAAATAGAATTCACTATCAAGGGAAACAACTAGGAGGATCGTAAAAGAAGAAATCAAAAGTTTTATAAAGGAAAAAAAAACAACTGCTTCATCTGCAGGGGAAAAATAATGACAGGGATGGACATGGAAGGCGGGTGCTTTGGATAATTAAAGCTGTCAAACACGCACTGTTACGGTTATCGGAGAGCAGGACGCCTCAGACTGATAGGGATTCTGTTGTCTTCGGAAAATGGGTAGAGAAGAAAGTAATTACCTTGAATCACATGGGATGGTTAGTTGATTTGATGGGGTTGTTGGTAGAGAGATTGGCAGGCGCAGGTGAATATAATAGCTAGGAATATAGGTTAGCGAGAACGGAATGAGAGGCCATGGTAGAGAAAGTGGCAGAGGTAAAAAGAGAAAGAGAGAGGGGTGTAGAACGATGGAGAGTCAGAGAAGGGAAGCGAGGAAGAGGGAAGGGGAGAAAGAGAGTGATAGCGATAGAGATACAGTATGAGAGGAAAAAGATGGAAAGAAAGAGAGGAGAATGAGAAAAAAGGAGAGTAGGAGTGGGAAGAAAGGAGAAAAAGATAGATAGAGAGAGAGAGATCGAAAGATAGGAAGAGTGCGAACGATGTAGAGGAAGAAAGAAAGAGAGGAGAGAGGAAAGAGATATAAAGAAAGAGAGAGGGGATTTAGGGAAAGAGAGGAAGAACGAGAGCGAGAAAGAGAAAAAGAAAGAGAGACGGAGAGAGAAGGAGAGAACGTAGAAGAGCGGGCGACTGCGAGAAAATATGGATAGAGAGAAATCGAAGGGGAGGAGGGGGTTATTGACTGGCAAAGAGAGGGAGAGCGGACTCGGAGAGTGGGAAAGTTAAATAGAGGAAGAGAATGAGACAAAGAGTAAGAGAGAAAAAGCGTTGGTGAAAGAGCGAGAAAAACGAGAGGAATTTGAGAAAGAATGAGAAGGGATAAACAGGAAGAGATAAATAGAAAGACAGTGAGAGAGAGAGAGTGAGAGAGAGAGAGAGAGAGAAAGAGAGAGAGAGAGAAAGAGAAAGAACAAGATGGGGAGAGAAGGAGAGCAAGAGATAGAAAGAGCGAGCTCAAAGGATAGGGGGTGAGAAAGGGAGAGCGATGGAGGTAAAAAAGAGAGAGGGGAGAGAGGGAAAGCTATGGAGAGGTAGAAAAAGAGCGGAGAGAGAGGAAGAAATAGAGAGAAAGACAGCAGTGCTTGAGCTAGGGAAAGAGAAGGTAAGAGAGGAGTGAGAAGCTGAGTGGGAGTAAGGAAAAGATAAAGAAAGGGAGCGAGAGTGTGAGAGGGAGAGAGGTGATGCCAGGGAGAAAAATGGAGACTAAAAGTGACGGAGAGAGAAAGAGGGAGAGAAGGCGACATGTAAATGTTCAGATAAATAAAAATAGATATAAGCTGAAAAAATGCCAGAGTTGGTGGAGAGAATGAGGGAAATAGTGGGGGTGAGTGCGAGAGGAGTTGTGAGAGCAAGGGAGAAAGAAAAAGAAAGAAGAGAGAGAGAGAGAGAAAGAAAAGGAGAGGTGAGTGAAAAAGAGAGCAAAGAAGAATAAGAGTTAGAGAAAACAGAAGAGCTAGACATAGAGAGATAGATAGAAAGAGAGAGAGAGAGGGGAAGATATAAATAAAGACGGCGAGAGGAAGAGAGTGAGACAAAGATTAAGAGAATGAGAGAGGAATTGTTAGAGTAAGGTAGAAAGAAAGAGAAAGAAGAAGAGAGAGACAAAGGGAGAGGGAGGGTGAAAAAGAGAGCGACGTAGAATAAGAGGTAAAGAAAACGGAAGAGCTAGACAAAGAGAGATAGATAGATAGAAAGAGAGAGAGGGGGGAGATATAAATAAAGACGGCGAGAGGAAGAGAGTGAGACAAAGATTAAGAGAATGAAGGAGGAACTGTTAAAGGTAGAAAGAAAGAGAAAAAAGAAGAGAGAGACAAAGGGAGAGTGAAAAAGAGAGGGATGGAGAATAAGAGGTAAAGAAAACGGAACAGCTAGACAAAGAGTGCGAGAGCGAGAGCGAGAGAGAGATAGAAAGAGAGAAAGAGAATGAGAGAGTGGGGGAGATATAAATATCTAGATGAAAAAGCTGAAAAAAGCATGACATCATCGACTGGAATCGATATCCATTGGTGACATGACGTAATCAAGTCTATGATAGACAAAGATGCAGAGGGAAAGAGGGAGAGAGGGAGGGAAAAGGAGCAGAGAGATAGAGAGGAAGAAACAGAAAGAGAGTATGAGAGGGAAAGCGATAGAGAGGGAAAGATATAGTAAGGGGGAGAAAAAGAAAGAGAAGAACCTGAACAAAGGGGAGCGGGTAAAAGGGATTGGGAACAAAGGAGAAAATGAAACAGAGAGAGAGAGATCGGACAGGAAGAATGAGAGCAATGGTGAGATAGGAAGACAGATAGACAGACAGAAAGAGAGAGGAGAAAAGGGAAAAATAGGAAGAGCGAGAGCGAGGAAGAGAGTAAGAAAGTGAAACGGAGAGAGGAGGGACCTAGGAAAGCGTGAGAGAAAGAGAGATAGAGATCGAAGGATACAGAGAGAGAGAGAGAGAGAGAGAGAGAGAGAAAGGGGAGAGGGAGATATAGTGAGAGAAATTGAGAGGCATAAAGAAGAAAGGGGAGTGAAAGCGGAGAGAGAAAGACGGAGAGAGGAAGAGAGTGAGACAAAGATTAAGAGAGTGAGGGCGGAATTGTGAGGGGGAGGAAGAAAGAAAGAGAAAGAATAAGAGAGAGAGAGAAAATGTGAGTGGGTGGGAAAAAGAGAGAGAGAGAATAAGAGGTCGAGAAAACGGAAGAGCTGGAGAGAGAGAGAGAGAGAGAAAGAAAGAAAGAAAGAAAGAAAAGAAAGAAAGGGATATATATATATATATATATATATATATATATATATATCAAAATAAATATATATATATATATCAAAATAAATTATAAAGCCGAAAAAAGGATGACATCATCTAATGGGATCGATGTACATTGATGACATGACAGATTGTTGAATATGCAATGTAATACGTAGATAAGGAAGCTGAATACATAGTTCTTTTATGTTCTTTCAATCTGTGAATCCTAGTTCTTCGCATTTTCCTGTCTTTTATTATTTTGATATTTGTCTCTTCACTGTTCCACTATTCCTTGTTCGGTCATCCATTTAGTCAAACCTATAAAGCAGGTTACTAGCTGTCTTCCCTTATATCTTTTGTCGTCATTATATCCCGTGAGTGTTAAGTTCCTCAAGCATTCATTTGCCATATAAACAGCAAGATATGAAATCGATACATAATCATCAACAGATTGAAATGAATCAATCAATTGAATGACTAGCATAATCGATACGAACAAAGTTATACATATTGACATCAGTGTGTAGTGATATGTGTCACCATTATTGTTTTTTTCCGACGGGATCACCAATCTTATAGTGACGGTGTTATCGTTGTTGTGATGGTGTTAAAGATATTTAACTTTGGCTAGGAAATGTGGGATTAAGGACAATGCGTGGACGCAATGCAATTTATATTTGACGTAAATAGCACATAGAATAAAATACAAAACTGAGCGGAATGATTTCAAAACATAACAATTAGATTTATTAATGTTTTATGTACATGCATGCGAACTGAAAATGTAGGACAGAGTCGTGTCCCTTTGATTATGTATTAGTTGTACCGGAGTTCATATTAAGAAGAAGTAATATTAAACTTGTAATTTAGAAGAATAAAGTTTGGAATTGTGAGTTGTGAAGTTGGTAAAAGTTCAGGAGTGATTTCAGAGTTCGTGAATGTTGGTAATTGTCTTTAACGTCTGGCCAGCAATAACTAAGACGGGAGTTCCTGAAGGTTACATCTTGGCAATTGGTAGCAAGGAATGAGACGTGCGAGAGAGATGAATGAAAAGAAAAACTACTCAGAGAGTTCACACGTGTTCGGTTTATATAATGGTCGTGTACCACGTGGGAGGCTCAAACGGAGAACGCGGGAAAAACAGATTGGTCGCGTGCAGGTGGTTTGATTGGTCGGAACTGACCAATCAGTAAGCTAGATTGGAGGTGATTGACCAATGAATACTTGTTATATTATATGAAAGTAGGATGTTACTTACCAGATAGGAAGAGTGCATTTCCTAAAAAGAGGTAAGGCTGGTTTGTTGTGGAAGATCCCACAAATGCTCTTCACAACTTCCTTTCCTTTGTGGCTTTTAACAGTTATTCTATCTTTGCTCACTACTTACTCTCTCTCTCACCGTCTTTCTTTCTTTCTTTCTTTCTTTCTTTCTTTCTTCCCCGTTCCACCATTCATTGACTCAAGCACGTTAGGCTGACTACCCACCACCCACCAATCTCTCCTGTTCTCAATATAGCTCGTGAGGGCTAACGTTTCCAAGCCATCTTTCCTCTCTGATCTTGATTCTGAATATGTGGTCTTTTTGACGCCGTCTTGTTTAAGACTTGTTGCTTTCTTGCTCCGAATTTTCAGTATTCATCTATAGAACCACATTCTTGTTGCCTCTTGTTGTCTCCGTGTTCTTGTGGATTGATTCATTGTTATATAAGGGGATGGATGTTGCATGTCAATCCACCACACTTTTCTTTCTGTCTAATGATATTTTTCCGTTTCTTAGGACGTTGCTAATTTTTCGAATGCTTCTTTCGATAGTCAAATGCATTCAGATCTTGGTGTCACAGTTTCCATCCTCTGTTAAAACACTTCTCAGATATCTTATATAACTTATAAATACAGGTATACCTCAGGTTACGTCGTTTCGAGTTGTTGTTCTCAATTATACGTCGTTTGTCAAAAAATATATGGAAAAATAAAAACATGTTTAAGTCATATTATTCGACTTTATGTCTATCCGCTCCAAATATTGAAGATGTATGATCATCAGAAAAGTGTTAAAAGCACATAAAATCATGTTACTGTACAATAAATAAGAATAAACGTATATAATATCATATTAAAATACGTACATTTACAGTAAATATTAATATTCATAAATTCTAGAGAACGAAATATGAAAACATCTGTGGCTCTGTGTTGCCGTGTTATTTAGCGGTTTTAAGAGTTCAATATTGGTGTTTTCCATGGTATTTCCAATATATACCGTTTGTCGTCGTTGTCAGCGCGAGTCGTGATTCCCGCGAAATTGAAATCCAGTTTAGCATAGGCATACGCACGGTATACGTCTGCTTATTGCCTACTCTCTTCATTCTCATTCATTAAGAAGCAAGGTGAAAGTGCATCAGCTGACGAACAAGCAGCAGCCGATTTTCCTAAAGCATTGGCTAAGATCATCGAAGAAAACGGGTATCTTCCTGAACAGGTTTTAACTTTGACGAAATTGGGTTATATTGGAAAAAATTGCCAAAACATTCTTTCATTACTAATGTTAAGCGTAAGGCTATATCGCTGATAAATTATGTTATTCAGAATGCTGTATGTACATATCATAAATACTGTAATATGTGACACAATATACAAGCAGCGATGGATAAGTTGTCACCATTTCATATTTTTAATTTCGCGCATGCGCATTATTTTTTCTGATTTTGCCGACTTCAAAGTATAGTAGGGTCAGTTGGGCACCTTCTGTGAGAAATAGAACACCATGACACAATTCACTCCACCAGAAATTTGGAAACGGCATGCCGTTCTGCTTGGTATTTGCGCCGGAAGCTCCAATACGATCATTTCAGAGTGTTTGTGTGTCAATCTGAGGACACTGCAGAGGATTCAGAAAGGGTTGGATGAGTCTATTGGTGATTACGATGGTTCAACAGCGCTGAAAATTCAGTCTGTCCTTTTGATAAGAAAACTCCCGAAATTGTTGGTGAAGTCGTCAGACTCAACACGGAGGCCTATATCAAGTGTCTTGAGGAGGTAGTCCTGTCTTGGGTCAAGACCCTATGTCTGGCAACAGGATTCTGCACCATGTCACCCATACAGGAGAAGCCATTCATGGCTGTCAGACAATCGTTGCAACCACATCAACACTTACATCTAGCCACCTAACACCCCAGACTGCAACACCCTTGATTATTATGTGTGGGGCGGAGTTGAGCGGGAGATCAACAAAACTCCTTGTAACACCAAAGATAAACTGAAAGCAAGGATAATAGCAGCATTCACCTACTTAACAAGGAAGCCGTCCATATGCATTACGTGGGATTCCGAAGTCATCTGCAGGCCGTGGTTGATGCCAATGGCTTATTTTATTGTATGTAATTTTGGTAAATATATGTTAAATGAAATGTCAATGCTATTTCCATTTATGCCTAATTTAGACGACAATTTATCCATCGCACCCTACGCTTTAGTTCACTGTATCCCGTTCTTTCTAAAAGTGTGTCTGGTTGTGCATAAGTCTTCAGCAATATAATCAAATCATGTGTGCAGGTTGACTAACTGTTCAGTTTTATCAACTAAACACTGCTACTTCGAAATCAACTGGAGAGAGAGAGAGATTATATATATATATATATATATATATATATATATATAATGGACACTCCCGTCAGTTTCGACGTATGAAGATCTGACAACTTAATTGATTCAGTTATGAAATTTTGTGCGATAATCTTGAGTGGCATTTAAGACCCGCTAGTGATTTACAAAGGAAGCCACGCGTGGAGTAAGAGTGAGGATTGTGAGATGAGATCACTGTTAGATTGAATGACCTTTTAGTTCTTGCTCTCGCTTCTTGAAGATGATTCAGACAAGCAGATTGAAAATTGCTGAGTTCACTAAAACACGTTGATCACCATTCTATATATATATATATATATATATATATATATATATATATATATATAGAGAGAGAGAGAGAGAGAGAGAGGGGAGAAAGAGATAGATAGATAGATAGATAGATAGATAGATAGATAGATAGATAGATAGATAGAAAAGAATGCAGAATGGGATAGACAGATAGATAGATAGATAGATAGATAGATAGATATGAATATATTGACATTAAGATGCACGTCCCTTTATCTGCACATAGTTTGTGCGATAAACCTTGAATGAGATTAGATAGATGTAACAGATTCAAATTCAAACAAGTACACATTCACACACACACACACACACACACACACACATATATATATATATATATAGAGAGAGAGAGAGAGAGTGACACAGAGAGAGAGAGTGACAGAGACAGAGAGACAAATAGTTCGATCGAAAAATCGATGGATAGATCGATAGATCGTTAGATATAAATATACTGAGAGGCATGTCGATTTCTCTGTAGATAGGTTGCGAGATAAACCTCGAATGAGATAGAAGATCTGAGACATCAATTGGGATAAGCGAGTATAAATAATTCAAAGGAAATAAAAAGGTTTATACGGACTTTTGAGAATCCTGGCACCTAAGTTTATGGGACTTAAATATATTAGCATAAATGTAGAAATGAATTCCCCTAAAACCCCATTTTGATTTTTTCAAGTTTATTCAAAATAAACTAGGATTCGGAATGCAATTTCTGCAGAAATATACAATTATTACGCAGGGCTCGTGTAAAAAAAAAAAAAAGAAAAAAATCTAATGACTTTAGGTTTGTCTTGTTTCTTTTTTCCCTTTTTAGCCTGGGAAATTTCGGATACGGCCTCGTCCATCTAAAAGAGAACTGTAAACATAGCTAAATAGGGAGAGACTGAAATCGATTAATTCATAGAACTCGCGAGATGGCAAAATTGATTGCTAAACCTATCCAGACAGTAATCAAATCAAACTTTGCAAAGGTCAAATAAAAGCAGTCACTGTCAAAAGCCGATACATCTAACAAAGAAAAACGGCTTTAGTGTCCTGAAGATAGGCGATTGCTTTAAAGCTTCTGACATTAGTAATACTAAGATTGATATCAGCTATCGGAAAACAAAGTTTATATATATATATATATATATATATATATATATATATATATATATATATATATATATATATATATGAATACGACAAACAAAGGTGTTGTTATTTAGTTTTTATAGAATTTCTCATGCGATCTAATAATTTTTTCTTTTCGGATGATAAATTATATAAAAACTGGTCCAATGTTCTATTTAACCGAGCGCTTTCGCGTATACATTTAGCCATTTTCAAGGATTAAATATTTTAACTGTTAAGACTCACTCTACACTTTTCTGACAATAGCTCAATTAGATCTCATTTAAATATTCATTAAGACCTAACAGACACTATTGGTAACATACTTGTTGACAACACTAATATAATAGCATCATCTACATTAAAAAAAGGCTAAAAATAATGGAAGCCTTATTAATAAAAACAAAACAAAACAACAAAAAAAACACTTAATAATATTAACTTTGAACATGGACAACATCTTGACTGTGTTTTGAAAAATGAAAACATTTTATAAAACATACATACAACAAACTATTTCTTATTTAACAGTTTTAATATTTAATCCTTGAAAATGGTTAAATGTATAGCCGAAAGCGCTCGGATAAAGACAACATTCGGAGAGATTTTATATAATATATCATCCGAAAAGAAGGAAAAATTATTAGATCACATGAGAAATTGTATAAAAAACTAAATAAAAGTACCTTGTCTGTCGTATTTAATGAAATGTGCATGAAAGAAGGATTGCTGCCTAAACACACACACACACACAGACACACACACAAACACACACACACACATATATATATATATATATATATATACACTGCGTGCCAAATTATTATCAAGATAACTTTTTTCTAATATTTCAAAAAACGTTCAATCAATTCACACAAAATTTTCACACAATGTTAGCAACACTGACCTGCGCCATCACTGAAATGTTCGTACTGATATGCGCAATGTAAACAAACTGGCGCCATATTTGTTATCAGCTACTCGAGTTACGCTTTTCATGCTGGGATCAAAGTGTAGTATCTGTTCTCATCTCTAATGGTAATAATAATGAAGTTTTTCTCTGAAAACAATTTCTTAGAAAAATAGGTTTTTCGAGTAGCTGTTATCGTTCTTTCCAGTATTGATGGGAGTTTCCTTCCTAACCATTTGTTTAATGTAGTGTGGAACGTTAATATCTTGATTATGTTATTATTTTCTCTTCGTGTTACATTTGCAATCTAATTTCGTCGTTGATGCTGTTGAAAGTCTACAAGTGATGTGATTTTTGTTATTTGATACAACTCTTTGTGATTCTATAGCGTCAGTCTATAATGTTCGAAGAAGGGTGGTCTTCGGCAAGATACACAGTATTCACTCGCTCAGAGTTATTTTTAACTATTGATCTTAGAAAGTGGTTGTATACAGCTGAGATTTTAGATATTCCTGAACGGGTAGTGCGTCAGGCATAGGATCCCTATGAATGATTCGATCTGACAAAGCTATTTAAGAACATGATTCGAATTAGGTTAATGATTGTTGTGGTAGGATCCACCTAATTTGCATAGTGGAGTACCGACCATATAAATATGATTGGTACCGGGAAGACGGGGGAGGAATCAAGAGATTCAATCCAGAGACTCTGCTAGACTGCTACTAAGTCAACACATTCTCCAGGAACGGTCTTTCCAGGAATATACAAAAGACTATATGTAAATATTGTGTACACTTTCTTGTTTCAATACATTTTGTTCTAAGTACATTTTGTGATGCATTATTATTCCATGCATTAGTCAAGTTTCAACAATGATTTTGTAGTAATTTGGTGTATTGAGGGAAATTACAGCTAGCCCAAACTATTCTATGTTCACACTGTAAAAACTCAATGAGAAATACACCACTGAAATCTGAACGGAATAGCGAACTTCGCTTTCCAAAAGTTAAGCAAAATTCTATGAAACAGAGAAAAAAAAGTCCTTAGAAAAAAGGAAGAGAGTGTTGAACTCTTATCTCTCACCGGTCCGCCTATATGGCAATGAATGCTGCACAGTCTCTTTATAGAGATGAAAAAGTAGTCCCGGTTATGTAAATAAATTATATCCGACAGCAAGGCCTGTGATCTGGATTTTGCAGGTTTTCGGGAGTGTGGAACCACCTCTTAACTGATGTTGTCCCCAGGTCCATCCTGGCCTGGGGCAGTAGAACCTGTTAAGGTACCAGATATGGGTAAATACTGAACCTCCGAAATAGCGAATACCAAAAACAAAATACTGTAAAAGTATGAAAGTGAATTTAAAAAAAAAATACCAGCAATGCATTTTTATATAAGGTTATTACCGTCAATACATATATCAAAATTACCAACAATAATATATATATATATATATATATATATATATATATATATATATATATATATATATGCAAGCAAATATATGGATATAGATCCGATAGTATGAAGAAAAATATACGAAAAAAAAACAAACAAAAGTCATATATACAGTTATGCTGTTTTAATGCTAATATCATCAACGTCGGACGTTTTCAGTCTAATAAACCATCTTCAGGACATATTCATAAAATATAATTAACATTAATATTTTATTGAATATGTCCTGAAGATATTTATTAGATGAAACGTCCGACGTTGATATATTAACACATTAAAACAGTATAATTGTATATAAGGATTTTGTTTGTTTTTTTACATTTTTCTTCATATATATATATATATATATATATATAATCATTCATTCGAAAATTATAACATAAAAATGTTATGAAATCACTACAAAAATAGCCATTTTGTGTCAACACTTCTGGTGTCTTCTCAAGTGATGATGTTGAATGTAGAATAAAGGGTTTTAAAAGGTTCAAATCAATCAAACACCCCTCGCTAGGGGAAACGCAGTTACATAAGCTGGAATGACCAATCAAAATACAAGTATATGAGAATTCAAAATACTTAACAACGAACTTTGGTTATAATAATTATTTAATGCTTTAATGTTAGGGTTAGACTAAAATAGAATTCATTTTAACTAATAAATATTAAATTATACTATAACATTCAAAATTCAAAATTACCAATTTTAAATTTTAAATTTAATCTATATTAAGTTTAAAATTATAAAATTATTTAAAAAAAAAACTGAGGAAAAATATATATGTTTGTTTTATTTATTTTGTTTTTCTAGAAATTAAGTTGGAATAAACGTTAAGATCTAATGCTGCTCTGAACTCTGTTACAATTAGATTCATTTGAACGGATGACATGGGTTAGGGGTGGTGAAATCTTGCAAAAGAATTCGCACACAATCATATTATAATACATAAACACGAAGACATGTTTAGATATATAAACACGCAAAAAACCGGCGAGACAAGAAATATGTCCACGGTCCTAAAGAAAAGAATAACGACAACATATACATACAATGAAAGGCACATATAAACGATTATACACACATACATTGATAAAGACACGCACATATACACACTTACATTGATAAAGACACGCACATATACACACTTACATTGATAAAGACATGCACATATACACACATACATTGATAAAGACAGGAAACATATACACATACATTGATAAAGACACACACATACATATACACACATACATTGATAAAGACACGCACATATACACACATACATTGATAAAGACATGCACATATACACACATACATTGATAAAGACAGGCACATATACACATACATTGATAAAGACACGAAACATATACACACATACATTGATAAAAAGACACACACATATATACACACATACATTGATAAAGACACGCACATATACACACATACATTGATAAAGACAGGCACATATACACATACATTGATAAAGACAAGACATATACACACATACATTGATAAAGACAGGAACATATACACACATACATTGATAAAGACACGCACATATACACACATACATTGATAAAGACACGCACATATACACACATACATTGATAAAGACAGGAACATATACACACATACATTGATAAAGACACACATATACACACATATTGATAAAGACACGCACATATACACACATACATTGATAAAGACACGCACATATACACAC